AATATTTTTCGTCGTCGAGGGATCGGAATGAAAGGAGGAAGGACAAAGGGAGGGCGGGAGGGAGGCAGGGGGTGGCGGGCGGAGGATGAAAACCAGAAGAACAGAAATAATTACGACGAGTCCGCGTGAAACGGGGACGTATCGTTGAGCACGACCTTCCCCAGGATCGTCGGAATCACTCGGGAATATTAATCCAGAAATTCGTCCCGTCCTCTCCTGAGTAATCGGTTCCGCGGCAGTCCGCTCGCGCGTGAGGAGCACCAGTCGCGCGACAATCGGCCGGTTTCGTTCGGCGAGGCGTGAAAACAAACACGGGGCGGAAAGAACCGGTGAGCGAGCGAACGGGGTTAACTCGTTGAAAAATAAAAATATCGGAGAATCATTTGGATGATTGATTTGCAAACACTTCCTCGCGTGCGTGGCATTGTAGGATTTAGGGACACTCGGGAAAGAGTATACTTGGCAGGATGTTTTCTTAAGACTTGGAGGAATGAGGAAGTTTCATAGATGCTTGTGACAGGAACAAGTTGAGTAATGTATGAATACCTGATGCAATGATAGTTACTATGGAACGTTCCAAATTATTCATTCTCGTGTTTATATATAATTAACGTTACCGTCTCTCCTTCCTCTAGTCCTCATTTTCTAACATTGATAAATAATCAATCTAGAAAACTAAGAATTCAGCATTAATCTATAATGAAACATCCACAATACATATCAGCAGTTAATCATAGTAGCTAAGGATTAAAAATGACACGCCTATAGTAGCCAAGAATTGCCAATTAAACGACTATATTTGAACACTCGTAATAGTCAAGTGTCATCGATTAAGCATGCACAGCAAACCGTCTGCGGTAGCTAAGGATTAAAAATGACGCGACTACAGTAGCCAAGAATCGCCAATTAAACGTCTACAGTTGAACACTCGAAATAGTCAAGTGTCATCGATTAAGCATGCACAGCAAACCGTCTGCGGTAGCTAACCATAAAGAATTGAACGTCCATAGGTAAGCACGTAAGGTAGCTAACGATCAAGAATCATCTAAATCCTCGACCAGTCGGCCCGACAAGTTCACCTCGAACCGGAACCGTGGAATCACTGGGATGAGTCTTCGAGGAAGAACACGGTCGGGCGGCCGTGCTTTCACGTTTTCTCGATTCCGGGGTCCGCTCTCGAATCAGGTTGAACGGCGGGAGCGGATCGGAGCGGGCCGGAGCGGAGTGACTCTCGCGATCGTCGATCCGTGACACCGTTGAGAGCGTGTGTCGCTCGCGCGTACTTGCTTACGCACGCACGCGGCCAGCACACGAACGAACGAACGAACGCTCGCCGCAGAGATCCGCGTCGAGAAATAAAACGGCCGCGGAGTTATGCCGCTTTTTCCGGCCCAGTCTCCCTCCTTCGCGGTGGTTTTACGGCGTGCATACCGGGTGTCCTTGCGGAATGAAAGTACCCTGGAAAACGTGACCCCTCCCCGTGCGCGACGCGCCGCCGTGTAATGCCCGGCAGCGGGCCCCGAGCGTCTCGGTCGGCTCTTTAATCCATTCGCCGCGAATGACGTATCGATACGCCGAGGTTTTGCCGACCGTTCCCACAAATCACCGTACCGATACGTTTACACCTTCGACGCGACAGAATTCTTGGGATTCTTGCAACTCGGATCTCTGACGAACAGTTCTCTGTACTTCTGTTTGTCGAATCCTCGAAACAGAATTTTTCACATATTGGAGACCTATAGAGGAAACTAGATTGTGTGTCGAATGGCTAGACTCCAGGGGAAAGAACTGCATCGATCTGTTTGAATAATTCAATGCTTCGATTGTATTTTTGTAGTTTAGATATGAAACTTCGTCGTCGAAATGACGTTTGTCAACGATTTTGCAATAGAATGCTTTGATATTTTCATTGCGTTTCTGTTGGTTTGAAAGAAGTTGATAATGCTTCAGCTTTATCTTTCTCATATTTAGGCCACGAATTTTTCAAATGGCCTGGTAGCAACCATATTTTGCAAACCTGTCGTTACAAATGGGTTAAAGCGCGCGAGGCCAGCGACTGATGGATCGAGGCTGCAGCGAACAATCTTCTGTCTATCTTTCTTTCTCTCTGTCAACTGCTTTCACGAACGGAAAAGTTTCGAAATGGTTTTTCTTAACGCGCGCCGCGTGGTACCGAGGTGAACACGGCTAGAAATGATTTTCTGTTTCTTTTTCTTCCCGCGCACTGGTCGGTCGGATGAAACACGGCCACCTACTACGTTTCTTCTTCGTATGAATTGCTAATGCGGCGAAGTTCCGCGTAGGAAATTTGTTTCGCGCCGTTATGAAAATTAATTGCCTGCCGGAGAAGGTGTTTCAGTGGGAACGCTCGAAGTACCGGTTTCAGAACTCTCTGAATTGTTTCGAGCGTTTTTGAACTAGTTTCACTCGAATAAAAATGATAAAAATGCCGCAGGTTCTCTTTCCTCGATGATTATTTTTCTTCTATTAAATTCGCTGGAACGATTAGACTCAATTTGCTGATGATTAATCGTGTTAAATTTTATTTGAAACATAAGAAGTCCATGAAATTTGAAGTATTTCTATCGATTAAACAATATAAAAGTATATTAATTAGATATGCTAATTAAAGAGGGCAGTAACATACATAAAAGTAAGTGCCGCATTGTTCGCGAGATGGCTCAATAAAGTTCACCGGTTGTCAGAGCGCGTCCTCGAAATTTCGTTTCCCACACAGAGCTGCAATCGGTCGCCGGAATTGCTAATGCAATTACGCGAAAGTGTGAGATAATGATATGCGCCAGGTATTATGCGTGTTCCCGTTTCGGTAATCGCTGGTTTGATAACGCGATTCGAATTGATCGCGGCGCAGCGGCGCGATTCCCTCTGAAAAATAACGCGCGCTCGATCGTACGAGAACAGATCTAACATTGATACCGGTCAATTGGTGGAAAATTAACGCGTTATCTTAATAACCGGCCGTACCGCGTAATCAACTCGCGTTCAACAGAATTGGACGGCCACGAATATCATTCCGTTCTATTGAATTCGAGTTACACGTTATTTCCCGATTACCAATTGTTACGTTTCATAACGAGCCTGGACACAGAATGAATACGTTTTCCTTTCTCCAATGAACGACTAATTACACGGTAGATCTATCAAACACGACCAACGAATATCATAATAAATTGTCAACTGTCACGACAACAATAGCTTCGTTATAAAGTGACCAAAAAGAAAATCGACGGACTGCCGTACGCACGAAATCCTGCGTGCATAACGAGCTCGAACGGGAACCTTTCAAGTAACCTTCGAGCTTTAGTCATGGCGCACCAGAAAAAAACCACCGGCTATTGACACGATGGTTAAGAAAAGCGTTGAACGCTCGCGAGCGAACGGAATCGCAACGAAACTGTCTCGGGACGAGAAAGGGACCGTTCGCGACTGCGACGTTCTTGGCACTCGTTTTCATTAAGCACGCAGAACGAGATGCTGGAAGTCCTTCACATTGCGCGATGAGAATCTTAATGCGACAGCATTAACATAAAAACATCGTAGAGCCCGTCGGCCAAGATTTTGTAAATTGTTATTCTAAATGCGCCGGTTACTCGTGAATTATTGCGCCCCGGCTGGCACCGCTGCAGACAGATAATTCGTACAATTTCATTGCCCTTACGTAGTCCTCTCCCCCCGCGGGGGGCAGGGGGGTGAGCAGCACTTAAATTCACTTAGCGCTGTATCAGCTTGATGCATTAGCATGGTTGGCAACTGCCTGCGACTTTGTTAAGCCTCTTTATATTAATTTGAATACCGCCCGTCTGCGCTTCAGCCGCCATTTTGTCGGGTGACAGAGGCCGGGACGCTTCGGTGTCGTCGCGCGCGGATTTCGGGGATTTGTTTCGGATTGCAATCTTGTTCAGTCACTCTGACATTTACATTTGTAACGTGCAGTTTTATTTTCATCGTCGTCGAATGCAGGAATGTACTGCGAATTGCTGTTTTTAGAATTGGGACGAACTTTATTGTATCCTCTGGATCTTTATCGACTTTATTGGGCTCTTATTTTTCCATCGTTATTTCAATTATCTTGTTTGCTCAGATTGAACCACGTTTTCGTTGTTTCTGGGTGATTTTATGTTTGGAGCATGTGTATTTAGTAAGGTTGTTATTGACATTGGTGTTATTCGTTTGTGGGAGTTGTTTTAAACGTGTAGCTGAACTGATGGTTGCGGCAAGATCGAAGCATGTCTTGTTTATCTATTAATGGTTCCATTAAGCTTCAAATAAATTAATGGTCACGGTAAACTTTCTAATACTACGGATTTCAGATCGTTCAACATGGTATCGGCGCATAAAATTTGTAGCCTAATGGCCGTGTATGATCGGAATCTTTTAATGACATTTTATAGGATCAGATTCGGAATATAATTGTGGCGAATGTAAAACACCTCAGGAAGCATTTACCGCATTACTCGAATACTCGGAAATTTTTATTTTTACGCTTCAGTTAATAATAACATCGAGATATCGTGTTCCTATTAATTTGGTATTCAATGTGCATTACTCACCAGGCAAATGACTCACGTCACTTCGACACGTCGAACTGCGTTATTCCGCGTAACTTTATCACTTAATTTTATAAACCTAATACCAGCAACGTAACCTGTGTAAACGCGTACTTAATTCGTGTCTCCGAGGTGCTTAAAATCAATGAAAGCAATTGCAACCAATAACATCAAGATTATGGAAATACATACGAAAACAGATGTTGAAATTCCTTTATGTTCCTTTATACAATTAATCAAAATTTTAATGGAAATCAGGTCTAGGATAAATCTAGATGAAATACACGTTAGAAAAGTGAAAGTTGAGGAGCAATTGTTTACATGAAAATTAGAGCAATCGACTGAAAAGAAATATGACCGTTATTAACGGCCCGCGATTGAAAATGAATTACGCGTTCAATGAATTAAAGAGATTCCCTTAATTGATTTCAGGTTCGGTGGTGGATCAATCGGTTCAGAAGGAAAGGCATTCCGGCTTCCGTTCTGAAAACGATCGACGACGCGAAAGTGGAGCGGCCACGCGGGATCCGGTTTCGGAAGGTCGGAAAAATATGAGCATCTCGTAAAGTCGGTTAAAGTGCAGCTTTCAGACACCAGAAGGGGTACACACGATGGAGACCGAAGAACTCACTAGGCTCGTAGATGAGATCTACAAGGTAAGCGTCCAATCTCGTCGATCTCCGCGATCAGCTCACCTCGGTGCCGTTGCTCACGGTATCGCTGGTTTCTCTTCCATGGCGAGAATAGAAACCAGACGCAACGAAATGAGCCAGATTCGCTGCACGTCGCTTGTCGCAGAATCGTGTCGTTCTCTCGTTTGTGTTTTACTCGCGGCACGGAGAATTTTCATCTCAAAATCAACACTAGAACTACCGTACCAATCAAAATGACTGGTTTCGATTCTTTCGTTTAGCAATCATCGATATCTTCGAAGCATCGAATATTCGAAATGATTTTGAAAATAAATAGCTTCATTTCAGTAGTAATGAATGTCTGAAGAAACTGAAAATAATCTATTGTTACAATTTTCATAGGAACTGCATATTAATCGTATTAAATGCTCGGTAGTTCTAGTGTTAACCAATGAATTTATTTCAAACCCAGTCGTTAGAGATGATTAAACTCTGCGAGATTAATTAAATTTCTTAACAAATATTTCAGCTCCTGTAATAGATACTGATTATTCAGATCAATGTTTTCATAGATGTTTCTACTCTATCTTTTCATATTCCTTCTAAGTAGGTACTCATGATCGCAATATGCATTCAAATTTTACTCACTCCTTATATTTTAGATTAGAGGAGTACATCAACCTCTATCCCCGCGCGGAAGAAATTCTTTCTCGCGCAAACAGTTTGCATTAAACAGCAATACCGCTCACATTCTAATTCCGCCCCGACGTACATTTTCTTCCGCTCCGCGTAGAAACGCGAATTGCCCCGGACTGCGTCGCTTTCGGCCCGTCTACGGATACCGCCGCGATTATTCTCTCGCCTCGGGGCGGACGAATTTCCTCGCCGGGTCTCGTCATGCGGACGACTGCGTCCCTGTAAATACAAAGATACCTCGGCCACGTGTCAACCCGATAAACGGGGAATAATGAAAACAGGGTTCCCCTGCGCGCGCCTTTGCGCAGAAACAAGCTTTCTTTTCAGTCGCAGGCTTCAGAAACCAATTTCGCGTCGCTCCGCCTTTCCAACCTAAGTTGTTCTTCGATGAAACACACTTGGGAGCTCTATTTTATTGTGTCTCTTAACGTAAATATCGTCCACTATTTTTTTCATTGAGTTTCAACGTTATTCCGAGTTGTTACAGACATGCGATGAATAATTCAACGTGAAATTCGGTTCACAAGTTTTTGAAATTCTGAGGTATAGATTGCAATAAGAATTAATGAGAGTCGCTCAGAAGCGGGTCGAGTTCAGAAAGCTAAAATCGAGAGAATTTTTGTTTTCTGAAACGATTATACAACACATTCAACTGAACCAAGTCACACGAGAACCATTCCCAACTCGCCACACCACTGCAATCTCCAATTCAAACCGCCGAATCAACCCGAGAACAAAAAGTCGCAAGACAAAATCCACGCGGCGCCCCAGACTCCGGAGTCACGCCCTTAATCGCGCGGACCAATTTCACGGTGAATTTATTTCCCAGCCGCGGCAGTCAATTTCCCGGTGGCACAAATAATCCGCGAGGAACCGCGTCTTTCGCGTCGCATAATAACTGGAAAAGCTCCGTGCCGCTTCCGGTGGCGCGCCAAACTATCCCCCGCCCCCGACGAGGATCGCGCGGTTAATCCATCTATTTACCCGCACACTTTATCCAGAAGCAGCAGCTTGTCTCCGGCGAAACACGGCCGCGCGGTAGGAGACACGCTCGCCGCGGAATTTCTTGATAATTAGGTGTCGCCCCGGAAAATTATCCGTCGCGTGTACGAGCGGGGGCGGCGGCGGATGGCGGACGGAGGCGGACGTCGTAAGTGGTGGATGGCGCTCACGGGAGCGAGAATGATTAGGCGGAAGGTAATCTTATTAGTCGTTCGGCAGTCAAGCTTTCCTTTAAACTCTCCGTCACCCTTTCGCCCCCTGCGCCAACGGAGCCCCGTGCTCCTCCACCCCCATTATCCCTCCAGACGCGGCGCGTTGCGCGAGCTAACGACAGATATTCCGGGGAAAATGCGAAAACGAACGGGGAGACACGCCGTCTAATAGTAATGATTGCTGTCGGCTTATGTCGGCTTACACGCTTCGCGCTCGTTCCGTGTGGTGTATTATAGAGTGCTTCGGGTGTTTTCGAATTGGAGTTCCGGCTGATTTTCAGTGGAAGTTTTCTTTTGAAGAGGGGTCGGACGGTTGATCTTTCAGATGATGTTACGATGCTTTGGAATAGTAATTGATTGCTGAAGTGAATTCGAATGGAACTTCCGCGAGAATTTGATTAAGTGTAGCGATAGCGTTTGGGTTAGTTAAGCTGGTCGATGTTATTGCTTAAATTGAGATTCGTTAAATTCGTTGAACTAGTTTCTTAGGTTTATGCTTCCTGCGCGAGAGAAGCAGTTTACTTGCCTCTGTGTGTGTCGTGTATATATCTTGTTAGAGTTCTCGTATATTTTCTTCTTAATATTCATGAGTCAGAAGTAATCCAATATTGGCTGGAGGTTAATTCGCGGAGTAGTTCGTTCGGGAATGGAAGATTGTTATAATTGCCGGGAGAGGTATTAAGTGATAGAGCATTTTCTGAACAGCCGCTGAACGCTGAAAAACGAAGACTCGGAGCCCTGGTGTACGAGGATGAATGGCGAAGTGGGAACGAAGTGTAATTATTCTTTTTTGCGACCGTTCCCGTGTACACAGCTGTAACAAGTTATTAACGATCCGCGCGTCGATGAACGGAGGAACGCAGGCCTGAAGATTCAAGAATGCTCGCCGAGGCGGCTGTGATTTTGCCTGCTCGTTTTTCGTCGAACGCTTCCGCGGAAATAAATTATGCAATAAAATCATCGCGAGAGTCAAATATCCATCGTAGAATCATTCGCTGCCTGATACGTTCTCTCGTCTTTCTTGTTACCTTGCCGACTCGCCAGCTACCGTGACTTCTCATTTAAATACCCATCGAAGTTCCTTCGTCGCGTTGAGTATCGATAATTATTAACACACATTTCTCCTCCCTAAGTAAATGGCTATTAAGTATCGACAAAAATATTAAAGGGGAGTCATTAAAATGATGCCTGACAGATATTATTGATAATAATCAGTAATGAATGAAATGAAACTTGAAATCTTCAATTGCAACGTTCGAATTTTAAAGAAGAAGACGCTAAAATACTGCAGTAATTTCAATATTAATAAACAATAACTATACTGCAACGTTTCGTCTACTAGCATTACATCTGCGCAAAACGGAGAACATTTCTGTTTCACTTTTATCGCCAGGAATTCCGTGCAGCGAGAGGAACATCTCGATTCAAATGTTTCAAGCACAATCGGCGAAAATGGGAATTCGTGAAGACCCGTCTAGTAATAATGCTCGGAACACAGCTGCGGAAAAATGAAATACGCGTCTCCTCTGTTCCTCGCGATTTTCCGCTCGCATATTTTCCCGGCGGCGCTTAATCAAATTCTTCAATTACCAACAGAATTTAACGATCCGCGGTTCGGAGACGCAAAAGCGGGCGACGAGTCGACTGCCAGTTGAAAAACCGTCCGCAAATAATGCCGAGGTGGTCGGGGTGGCCTTTTGCCATTCGCATCGGCCGAAACAAGATTTGTATAGAGCTCTAACACAATAAGGATTTCCGGTCCGCCCGGCGAACGGAAGATCCGAGGCAAAGAAAGCCTCTTCCCGTGTCTTTGAATAACTCTCCCGGGGCGTTTAATGCGACCAGCGACATTGCTTACAGTAATTATCGTCTTCCCTAACTATGTTCCTCGGTTTCGAGTACACAAGAATGTACTCCCGCCGAGAAAAGGGCAGCCCTCAAACTACCAAAGTTGAACGGCGCGCTGCGCTGTGACCGCGGAGAATGCCACCACTCGAGATCCTTCGGCTCGTGGTTATTAGCAGGGTTACGGACGTCACATTCCTTTTTCTTTTTTTTTTATTTATTAAAACTACGCTTGAAAAGGCTCCTTCTCGCGCAGATGGAAACAATGAGCTTCGTTCTTTCGGTTCTTTAGTTCGTGCGATTAACTCGAACTTTCGCCTTGGAATTTATTTGAGTGTATTAGTCGCGTCGTTTGAACGAGCCACTAAAGAAGAGACACTTGTATTTTTATTTTGAGCGATAAATATTGTATACTTACGCAAATTAAATTTATTTCATCTTCGTTATATGGACTCGATATTATAACGCGAGGAGTTAATATTGTTCGACATTCCTACAGTGAATCTTCCCAGTAACGATTGAAATCTAATTTAAACATACTGAATCGCTTAATATAAAAATGTCATCGATCATAAGAGTACTCTAATCGATTCGAAGATATTAATCACAGAATCGAATCACAGGAAATTATCATTCCTCCATCCATATCGCGATGATTACCTCGAAAGCCACAATCGCGCGTTGCCCGTGCGAAGATCCAACAAAAAATCCATCAAATCGGTAAGACCAATTACCGAGAAGCCCGGAGCCCATTTTATTTTCCCCGAGGACAAATTGGGAATCGTTAAAGAGAGGAAAAAAAGAAACGTGACGAATTAGCGGGAAGAGGGAGCGTCCCGGCAGACGGTCCAATTAAACGTGATCGAACGAATTAATATAACCCGCGAATGGCTTCGTTAAGACGGTGGCGATTGCGGCGCCCTCCATCTTTTTTCCCGGCATCTCCGCGGACGAAATACGAGGCGGTGGCGGTCGGTGTCCATAAATTTCGCGGCCGCTAAAGTTATTAACGCAATTACCGGTGAAAAGCTCTGGGGCTCGGACCAGCGCGCAGTGCGGTCGCCTGTGGACGGAACCCCGAAATTCGACCATTCGCGCAACGAGAATTGAAGGTTACCAATGTGTTGCCAAGTAGTCTGCACAAACTGATTTTCATTTGACAAATACAAATTCTGCTATTCATGTAACGTTAGAATGGAAACATAAAATAGCCATTGTAACTGAAAAAAACTTCATAATATCCTCATAATATAAAACAATAACCATACG